TAGAATAGAATAGAATGGACTGTATAGAATAGAATAGACTGTATAGAATAGAATGAATTATAGAATAGAATAGAGTAGAGTAGAGTAGAGTAGAATAGAACAGACCAGACCAGACCAGACCAGACCAGAACAGAACAGAACAGAATAAAACAGAATAGAATGGATTGTAGAACAGAATAGAATGGATTGTAGAATAGAATAGAATAGAATAGAATAGAATAGAATAGAATAGAATAGAATAGAATAGATTTTCAAAGGAACCAAGTTGACTGGGTTCACATATTTTGTTGCACCATGATGGTTGATGCTTGGCTTTGTACTCCATTTGTACATTTGCATGGAGGTTCAGTGGTTAAGATGCTAGCCTGGTGGACTGGAAAGCTGGCAGCTCAAGTCTGAGACCCCAATGCCTACCATGGGTGAGCTCCCGTCCTGGCCCCATCTCCTGTGAACCTGGCAGTCTGAAAGCATGCAAATGTGAGTAGATAAATAGGTACCACTTCAATGGGAAGGAAACAGCATTCTGTGATGTCATGCTGGCCACATGACCACAGAAATGTCTTCAGTCAGTGTTGGGGTCAATGGCCTTGAAACAGAGATGAGCACCATCCCCTACAATCAACAATGACTCACGGAGTAAAATCCTCAGGAACTCCTTACCTTTACTTACTCCATTATAAACCATAATTTGCAAACCATAATGTCTAAACTGTGGTCCTTACAACTTGCTAAACCAAAGCCAAACTAACCAATGGCTTGGTGAGATGTGTTCATTCAACCAAGAGTGGGTACAAGGTCAACCATTGAGTTTCATAGCTAAGTGGGAATATTCTCACTCTTTATAAAACTCTTTATAAAACAATATGAGATCACCTTCAGTTATTCCCCATTGATGTCCTCAACACAGAGCAGTTGAGACCTGATGACAGCTATAGATCCTGAGGCTGCGGTTGTTATGAGTCATTTGCAATCCATAAAGCAGGTCGCCATTTGGACGAAGTCTTAGACTCTACCACACAAAAGTTGCATCAATTGTTTTCATCTCCTATAGTAGGAGATGTGTCGGCTTGCATAATGGATAGCTTGTTCCCATCACTCTCTTTTCGCCCTACTTGATTCATTCACATGAATCATGTCCTTTCGTTCACGTTGATTGCTCCCTCTGGGTTCTCCTCTGATTCATTTTTCCTGTCCAGAAACAATCTTGTGGTTGTTCAAAGAAATCCAGCAGAATTTTCTGGGGGAAGCATCCGTCAGTGGCCAACGAGACGATCATTTTCTTTCAAGCTGCGTGCCCGTTTTTTTTTGTGTGAGTGTTTTTTCCTGGCACTGGTGCTATTGAATGGCTTGTTTTGTGTTGTGCTGGAGTCCAGTCCAAGGAACTCTTGTCATACACACACACAAACACGCACACACACACACACACACACACACACACAAAGGAAGGAAACGGCTACTGCCGTTTCTCCAAAAGATTTGCAAATCTCCTTGTACTTAGTATGCACAGTACAGATGATTTGGTGGGAAGGCTTGAAATTTCATTGGGAAATCAACCAGGTGTGTTATGGTTTAAAAAAAGAAAAAGAAAGAAAGACATTGGTTCGTTACCTTCTTCCTGGTCGGACTTGGCTCAGTTGGTGAAGTCTTTCTTTGATGAGTTTTGTTCTAGACCGCTCTAGATTTGTTCTGGATTTCAGGAACCTTCTCTCTTGTCAAGAATTTTGTTTCGGCAACCTGGGACATCTAGAGTCAAGCAAGTGTAAGATGGCAGCCCAGGATTGTGCAAAAGCAACCCCCTCCCTTTTTACAGGTGTTGCATGCACAACCCCCCATTAAAGGGGGGACGGGGGTGGGGTTTGATTGGATTGTTTAGGCTGCCATTTTGACTGTTTGGACCTATGCATATCCTATCCTCCAACTCGTCTCTGTAGCCCTTCCGGTCGATACTTCAAAGAAGTGTCCATCTTATTGATTTCCCGGGGTTATTGTTTAAAAATACATTTATACATTTTGTCAGGCTCTTTTTTTCAAAAAAGAGAAGTTGAGGTTTAGATGCTTGTCTTTTTCTCCCGATTGCAAGTTGTCTCTCTAGCAAACTTTTGCTAGCACGATGTCTCTAGCGAAATAATAAGGTTCTTTTTCGTATATTTTTCCCCATAATCATTTCATTATTGATGCAGAGATAGCACAGTCCATTATTGGCCCAGGAGTACAGAGTGGATACATTTGATTATGTGTAGCTTGATTGCTTGCTGTGTGCACTGTGTGAAGGTATAATTGGCTTTGATTTACAGAATTATCCATCATTGGCTGGATTCCTTCCAAGAGGCTAAAATCCAAAGTGAACAAAGACATGTTGGCTTAAGCACAGGCATAAACCATCCTCCAGCTTCTCCAAAGAGCGCCAAGTGCTTGGCTCATCTGCCTTTGATTTTGAGTCATGGTTAAAACTAGCAATTGTGGCTTATTCCACAAACCATGGCTTAGGTCCACGCGTCAATCCAGCCAACGAATTGGGAATCGCTCTGAATTATCTGCCATTGTATGAAGCAGGCTATGGATAGTGACCAGTTCAAGGTTACCCAGCCAAGGTTGTCGACTTGAATCTAGTTTTCTTAAAGTACGTCTAGCATTTCTTTGGCCAAAGCTATACACTTCCTTTGTATAATATAGACACTGTTTGGTGTAGTGGTTAGGGTGCTGAGCTAGAAACAGGTGGATTGTGAGTTCTAGTCCCACCTGGGAGATGAAGGCCATTGGGTGACTTTGAGGCAAGTCCAGTAATGAGTTGAACACACACACACAAACTTATTTTCCCTGATTTTTTGGGAGGAGGAGTAACATGGACTCATTGGTAAGTTTTATTTTATTTAGGCCTGCATTTATTTTGTTGGAGAAGACTCTTGAGAGTCCCTTGGACTACAAGGAGATCCAGTCAGTCAATCCTAAGGGAAATCGACAAAACATATTTACCATATTCATATAGCTACCTATCCCACATAGTGACTCGCAAATTATCCATGCATGCTGGGCTCAGATATGTCAGTCTAAAACACAGCTGGTTTATTTAAGGTTCAGTGTCTGTCTGGGTCCAGCTTTAAACTGATTGTGCAGAGTGCAATGAACTGATTGTGCAGAGTTGGTTCACTCACAATGGTTCTTGAATCCGCAACAACCACACCTTTTTAAATAGCCCAGCTCTTAACTCTGCACGCTACAGATGGAGACTTGTTTTGCCTCCTGCTACGCTCCAAATGCTATGCTTCAAATTACTGGAGATGTTTCCTTTTGGCTATCATTTTCTGCACACTTAACCCAAAGTCAGCTCCACTCAAGCCCTGGAGTCTATTTCTCAGCTGACCCAGAAGATCAGATAATGATTGCGCAAGAGAAGCGGAGCCAGCCAAGCAGCATTTTAGTCTTTGTAATCGTTGAAAAGTTGAGGAAAACAAACCAGCACATATTCTCCTGCTTAGTTTGGTACGAGGGGGTGGGTGGGTCATTACCCAAACTAGCTAACATCATCAGTGCTAGAAGGGAGAGGAGTTTGTGGAGGAGGAGGTAGAGGAGGAGGACAGCTGAGGGGTCCTTGGTGCTCTCCGAGCTTGCTTGTTTTCTTGCAGAGATTTCATTACCCAAACTAGCTAACATCATCAGTGTTAGAAGGGAGAGGAGGAGGAGGA